CCCCAAAACCCCAAAACCCCAAAACCCCTTAGGTTTCATTTAACTAAATTATTAAAATTTGAGAAATAAAAGCCAAAGATAAAACTATTCTTTTTATAATCAAATATTTAATCTCTAATAGCTTGAATATACGTTTTCCTCAAAGTCATCACTTATAATAGTGAATTTACTAATTGCTTAGAAATGTTCTAGGTTAATTGGAAGACGAAAGTGAGCTAGAAATTATTTTTGACTATTGAGCTTATCCACTAGGTGGTGGTCTGCTATTAACTGGTTATTATTTCATGTGCTAATTGTTGTTTATCTTCTAAGACTGACTATTGGTATTTGAAGTTTTATCGTCGTAATTGAAAAATTCTCTCTTTGATGAGGCTTTTAAAACATTATTGTTGTTGACTGGATTTTGAGTTCTTAAATAAGAGTGAGGACGTTATTTATTCTGTTCATTATTCATATGATAGAGGTTAGTTTATGATTAATTGGAATATTCTAGTTGGTTTTTGTAGTATTCATTATTTTTCTCTGAACTTCTCATTGAATTTAATGAAGATTAACGCAAATATTGAGGATCTTATCTAATGATATTCATTTGAGCCATTTTTTTTTATTCAGCGAAATACTATTCATTTATTTGCTCTTACAATGCCCTAGCAATTATTTCGTCCTACCTTTCCTGCTAAATTAATTTATAGGGTTTGGATCGTTATTAGGAAAAAGATTTCTAAGTAGTTCTTTCGAATTTTTAATCAGTTTAATTCGAATTTCCCTTTTATTCTTCTTTTTGTCTGCTCATACTAACATCCTGCAATTAATTTTGATTTTATCATCTAATTTTCATTTCTGTTTTATCATCTTAATCAAACCCACATTGGATTTATTACCTTAATTTTTATTCTATTTTTAATTCAGAGCATTCTTACCTTCCTCCTACAATTTATTTATTCTATATCTTTTCTATATAGCTCTTACTTTTAGTATCTTTGGAATTTTTAACATCATTACTTGTAGAAAATTCACTAATGTTTTCTTACGAATTTGAAGAAGGCAAATAATTTTTCTCTTTTTGTGAAATTTAAGAAGTACTAATTTGTAAGTTATGGTATGCATCATTTTGTTTTGTAGGTATTGTCTGAATAAACAATTCACTTTTATTTTCATCATAATTTTAATATTATCCTGATGAAATTTGCTTAGCATTGTCATTTAATTATCTTGAAATATGATTCGATCCTTTGTTACTTAGTTCATCATTATTATTAAGATTTTACTCAAGTTTCTTGCTTGATATAGCTGAGTTATCTTTTTAAATCGTTATTTTGCAAATGTCTAATTCAGGTTTAAGGTAATTTTCTTTTTGCTTGAGAATCTGAACTGTTTTGCCATTAAGCTGTAATTATTTCTATTTGATTGTGTCTTAAGTATTTTTAATCTAGGAAATATTTAATAAATTGAATGTTTCTCTCTTTAAATAGAAGTCTAGATATTCTTCTAATTATTCATGCTAAGGTTCATCTTAGAAATCTAGACTATATAGGTAGTCTAGGATATCAAAAATGATTTTATCTTCCCTTGTATTATAAATTCTCATATCAATATTCATTTTTCCTTTAATCATTTCTTCTATTTCTTACTAGGTAAAATTTGCAACTTCCTTTTTGTACCAGGGTAGATAACCATACCTTAGCAACAATATTGAGTAAGCTGCAGAAATATAGTCATCTATTCTTGCTGCCTCAATACCTTGCTATGTATAAATAGAAGCAAATTCATGACTTCCTCTTGATTGTCTCTATTCTTTCTTTGCAATATGTCCTCCCTCATCATCAAGATACTATGTTGCAGAACCGAAATCGACAAGGTAAATTTTGTTGTTTTAAACTCTAAAATTATCAGGTTTAATATCTCTGTGAATATATCCCAATTTATGTAAGCTTTAAATGCACCTAAAAATCATCATTACCATCGAAGTAAATGAATAGCCATATTAATCTTAGATATTTTAATCATAAAAATCAGTAAGACTAGTGTCAAGATACTAAATTATCAAATATTGGAATCCATTTGAGCAGCCATGATCATAGTATTTTGGAATTGAATTACGATTTTTTATGCCATATTGTTAACATTTTAAATTTAGATCTCATAAATGAATAGCCTCTTGAAGTAAATTGATGCTAAATTTATTGACATCAAACTTGATTGCCATATAGTCATTGTATTTATTTTTATACAAAGCGACTACTCCAAACGCTCCTTAGCAAAGTATTTTATTAGCGTATTCAAATTCTTTAATATTTTCTGGAGGTTAAAACTCATGAGTATTTTTCATTTTTTGATCAATTTAATTTAATTTGAATATAATATCCAGTACTCATTTAATATTTTTTAAAATTCTTTAGCGAATTAAATTTAAGATTTCAGCGAATAGTTAATGATTAATATGCTTGGGGTTTTGGGGTTTTGGGG